ACTACTGAATCTAAAAAAGGAGTTTAATTTAAAGGTGCGGAAAAACAGAAGAATTTATTTCTTCTTCTTTATTGTGTATCATAAGCATGTGCATGTGTGTGTGAGATCTTACCTCTTTGATTTCATGGTACTGTCCGAGTAATGCGTAGGGGCAGTAGGAGATACTCATGGAGATGATGCCCATGCCACTGATCATCACCATGGCCACGTACACATTAGGGAAAATTGCCATAGTAGCAGTTCCTATAAAAAAATAGAGAGAATTTGAAGTTTGAAACTTGAGCAGATTTTCATTCCTGTGCAGCAACTGTGACTGTGTGGGAACTATAACTTCATAGCATCACTGAACACGAACCAGTTGCTAAATTGACTGTATTGTGTTCTGCTGTGTTCTGCTGCTGACTGACCCAATGAAAATCCCAGAGTTCCAACGACGTAGATGACCTTGATACTCAGATCAAAATTATCCAGAGATTTCTGAAGAATGGCTGGAACAAAAAAAACAGAAGTGGTTCAAGACATTTTAAGAAGATGGTAAGAAAAAGAAAAAGAAGCTTGGATGTTTCCTAAATACCTTTTTGTGCAATAGACGAGCTAGATAAATTATAATCGGAATATGCAAACAATGCTTGTGACATACCAGAGCAGAGGGCAGCTGTAGCAGCGTAGACCACCAGCCCCCAGCAGCCCATTTGAACTCCTCTGTGATAATTCTGGAGCTCTGTTGAATTGGCTGGTGCCTGGGGAAAAACAAAAAACAAAAAACAAAAAACAGAATAAATACCTGACATTTAGTTTAAAACCATAAATTATAGTATGTAGCATACTGTGTTTACATTTCTGTGTTCCACCACTGAGTCATTTACTTCACGTACAAAATGTCAAATGATGGCTGTTAATGTTTTCATATTAATAGAAACAACAGAGTGTGTATGTACCTTGGGGTTTCCATTGAAAACGACTTGGCCCATGAAATCGGTGTAAAACACAGCTTCAGCTATAATGGAGAACCATGTGAGGAGGTGACACAGACACAACCTCCACAGCTGCTTTGGCATCTGTGAAGGAATGAAACAACTACAGTGAGTGACAACAATCATGTAAGGATAAACATCATGAACTTTCAGGAAAAATGGGTAATATATATA